TTAGTTTTCTCGTTTGAATTGTTTTACATTTGTCATTTCTGTGTCTTTAATAACCGACTATGCGGTATGAGTTTTACTCATTGTTGAAGGCCATACGTAGACCTATAGTTGTTAATGTCTGTGTCATTTAGTCTCTTGTGGAGAATTGTTTCATTTGCAATCATACCACATCTTATTTTTATATATGATGTCAAGGATTTGTATAGAAATAGTAAAAGAAAGTCTTTATTTGACCAATTATGAACCCTTGCGGGTTTTAAATTTCATACAATGATTACAATGATTTTTTATGACAATGAAATAATAAGATACAACACAATAGAACAATGAATAGTTAGTGCATGCACATGAAAGAGAAAATTTAATAGGAGAGACAATCAATTAAAATGTAAGGATTATTTCCCTTTGAACAATATCTTATAAACTTTGAAGATATGTTGTTCAGAGTTTGAAAAAACATAAGAAGCCCCAACTGCTTAAATATAAGTGATATTTTCTCCCATGTACATGCAGCAACCAATATTTATGTATATAACATTTAAATTGCAAGAACTGAATAAGCACCTTTACAAAGAAAAAGTAAACAGCCATCCATCATCAAAGACAATACAACAAGATTCAAATTCGCTTATGAAAAAGTTATCCGGCTTTGTTCTTCATCTTGCTATTGTTTGATTCTTGATGGAATTTTCTGCTTTTTTGAATAGGTTTTTCGAACTGCCTTTCCTGTCTGTTGCAATTTTTCGTTTTTAGATATATCGCCTTATTGGTCGCTTGCTTATTGTTCGCTAATAATTGTTCGCTAGCTTCTTTTCGATCGGCCGTTGCTGTCTGTTTTATTTTTTCTGTTTGTAGATATATCGCCTTATTGTTCGCTGGCTTATTGTTCACTAGCTTCTTTTCGATCGGCCGTTGCTGTCTGTTTTATTTTTTCGGTTTTTAGATATATCGCCTTATTGTTCGCTGGCTTGTTGTTCACTAGCTTTAGCCTGGTATCGTATGAAGGTATTCAACTCAAAAGTATCGTTACTACAAAGAGTGAAAAAATCCACTCTTTCAAAATTTGCCTTATTTTTGCTATTTCAGTGGTGTAGAAAAGTTGTCAATCCGTTATAAGGAAGTTGATCATGAACGGGTATAGTATTCGAGATAAGAGAACTATGATCATTATAGATGCTATAATAAAAAATTTCGGTATGGACAAATCCAATGTACAGATATAATATAACATTTTATACGAAAAACAGGACACATGTATCATTGATACTGCTAATTTGTGTCGTATATATAAGATTTGAAAAACAAATCACGCCGAATGTACACCTGTTAATTAATGCCTTGGTGCAATAAATGTTTTCACCAGAAATAGTTTCAAATATCACATATTTGATGTTTTATTAACACTAAGGATTAATTTGCGGACGAACCTCTAGACTATTCTGGTATCAGAATGCGAGAAAAAAGAAAGGATCTGTTTTTCTGTCTTATGGTAATTTGCGGCAACGCTTAATTATATGACATAGATTATGTTATAAAAATCGAATTAGAAAATATTAAATAAATTAAATCGTGTAAAAAATGGCAACATCAATTTCAGAAGTCTATAATATATGTTTTTGTCTGTATTTTCAGTCTTCGTCGGTATGGAACTTGACGGAACGAAATGGCGTCAATGCACACTATAAACATGGCTGCTTTGGCATTTTGAAAAATCGTAGAAAATTCGTTTGTACCACCATTTTCATAAAAACAACATCATGTTATAGAAAAATTATGGTTAAGCTTTAGAATTGTATTTCATTGACATGCCTAGTTCAAGTACACAAATGTAGTTATTTTACCTTTATCAGAATGAGTGTACGTATGTGTGGATGTATGTTTTTACGAACTACTTAAAATTTTCAGCATGGTTCGAAATAAAATCATTAACAATATGCCAATGACATTTAATATTCGTAATTTAGACGAAACTGTAGGAAAATATTCCTTCTTTAAAATGACGTTTCATTTTGACACTTTGTTCATTTCTCCTTTTCAACATTTTGAAAATTCGTATTACACTGTCAGATTAAAAGAAATGTTTTGAAAGAATAAAGAAATTCCAAACTGAAATTTTGGAAAATCGTAGAAAAATTAGAAATTTTACCAGAAAAATAAAAGAGCGTCAAAGTTCTGGAATAATGTTTAACCTTCATGATGATATAAAACAATTATTTTTGTCTGTCATGGTTATCGACTATTTAGACGAAAATTCAAATAACTATTTTTTGGTCTGTAATCGGGATGAAACTCGCGCAAATTTGACGACCGAGGTCTTTTTGAATAAGACTTTATTAAAACTTGACTGTAAACATAGATCGAAAAGTCATTAAAATGATACCTAAGCCTTACCTTTTACATGAAAGAGAAAATTATACTTGTCTTGGTGTTTATTCTCCTTTATATCTGCTCAACGGCAATATGACCCAAGGAATACACCACTTTCGAGTTATGTCCTGGAGGAGGACCGCTTGTATCCATGCACTATTAAAGTTCATCAAGCGTCTTCGTGGTCGTCATTATGCAGGCTAATCTAGAAATAATGTTTGTTCCGTAGGTACTTAATCACAATTCCCTAATGACAGCGGTGCTGATTATAAATTGTAAGAATTTAATTTGACGAATAATTCGTGCAATATAGCATCATATTTTGCAACCGATCGCTCAACATGGGAAAGGTAGTGACGATGCCACAAAACGCACGAATGATGTTCACTAAAACCAAAGTTTTTGACGGAACTGCAACGAACTCGAAAGTGGTGTATTTAGATGACCGATATTTATAACAGGAAATGGACCTCCGTCATGATTCTTTATATTATTTATCATACTTCCGACATGGATTATCGCTCCGGTGGAATCCCGATTGATCTCGAACCGTGTTTCCTTTCCTTTTAAATATACAATTCCTTGATATAAATCAAGGACACGCTTCATATCATTGATTGTCTGAATGGAAGATAAACATAGAAATTTCTGAAGAATACACATCATCGTGTGAGTGTTATACTGTTGTATGTCTCATGTTGGGAAATCGAACATGAAGTTTAAAAAAGCGATATCTTAGATATTTGACAGATATATAGAAAGTTATGTAGGAATTGAATTTACAGACATGAAGAGTAACTATATTTGTTCAATTGTCTTTTGAAAGGACACGCACCATAAAAAATAAAGCACCTCCTTTTCTGGAGATAAAACACTTTATTACAAACAATGTTGTTTAGAAATTAATCCCTATTGACGATAGATCATCATCATGAATTTTTCAATTGTGCAATATCCCCAATTAGGGAATGCCTATTTTGCTAGGAATCACTCATATATTGAGCTCAGACTATGCAAACAATTTAGGCATAGTACTACTAAGATAACTTTAATAACAAATATTTTACAGCAAAAATACTTGAAAAAAAGTTCAGATGCAACACTATAAAACTATTTTCTCTGAACTTCCGGTTCCGGTGTACAACTAGATGAATAAGATATTATAATTCAATTGGACTGTGGAGATATAACTGTATATAGTTCTGACAAAAACTGGTAGAGCGTAGAAATCTCGTATTATACATATATAGGGAGATCGACCATTGCACCTGGATATCAAATATATAACTATCTCCATTTTTGGCAATTATAGTGGACATATAACACTATAAGACTCACACGACGACATGTATACACATGTACATGATATGATGATCAAGTCTAGACAGAACAGGAAATTTCTTTGAGGTGATTTATAACTACAGAATTCATGGTAGATCTAGGGTCCGAGGGGGGCGTTACTGTCCGCAATTGTAAAACTACTGCAATGTACAGTACTACTGCTTAAATGAAATGTGATGGTCGCTTCTTTTGCTTGTTGATACGAGTCTGTAGCTTAAGGTTAAGCTACATTAAATGGGCTATGCCAGAGATTTTAGTAAAATTTTGCATACAACTTCGGCGCACGGAAATATAAACGAAAATCGAAAAAAGAAAATGCATCTATATCTTTTACTTTTCTGAAATTCTTTCAAAAAGGTGAACATTTGCATAGAAAGCACACTAAGATTAAACGAAAAACGTTCTTTATTTTCCATAGATTTATCTGAAAAAAATTTTTGTCGTTGGTACATGAATTTTGTTTTAATGATTTAGAAAAATAATGACATAGCCCATTTACTGTCCCTTGATCCTTAAAGGCGTTATATTATATATACATGAACGCTTTTTAAATCAATAAATTTTTGACACACGTGTAATTTGAACGCCATGTCAAAGGGTTGCGGATGGGGTCCCTCATTTCTGTATCTAATTTTTATGCCATTTTCTCTATTCTTTATAAATTGTCCCCATAATTTTCTATTCTTTATATTTTAGCACCCACTTATTCTCTATTCTTCAATTTTGCCTATTTTTCTCTATTGTTTATTTTTTATTGCCCCATTTTTCTGCAGTATTACCCCATTATAAAACTCATAATAATATAACAAACGTATTTTTTTTTATATATTTTATTGCCAATTATTATACTCCTCACAAGGAGAAAACTGATCAATATTCATTTTATATAAGGGAGCTACCATTTGATTTTTAGGGGGGGGGGGGGGGCTAGGATGAAAAATTGTGTCCTGCATTTTTTTTTAGTTGTAATCTCGGTCCTTAAAACTTCTGTCCTGCCTTTTTTTCAAATTTCATCCTATCCCCCCCCCTCCCCCATAAAATGTTGATGTATTGAAATGTACAGGCTACACCAAAGTTTTTATCGACTGTATAGGTACCAATACTTTTCAGCATTATAAGGTTAAAATATCTTATCACAACAACACCTATTATTGTTGTTATGTAGTAATACAGATCCGAGACCACAGTTTTCGCCTTTTGAAATATAGCCACCTATGTAGTAGACGGTGCATAACTTACATTTTTTTCATACGCATTCCGGGAACCCAATTTATTTCTTCATTTTTCATGCATAAGTATATAATAGTCTTTTATTCAAAAACAATACAGCTTATAGCATTTACGTATACAAATGTAATAGCATCAGTGATTAATCACATATGTGTTTTACAATTACAAACAGCTTGAATCATTGAATCATCACATAAGGAGATGAGGTTTAACTGCAAAATATATTGGTTCACGAGCTTTGATGTTAAGTAATGATTTGGTCCAATCGTAAAAGGTTATAATCGAGTACATCTGAAACAGCAACTGAATGTAAGATCCCCTTAAAACAAAACTGTCCATATTTTGGAATTCACTACAAAATGAATTGTGGTATCGGGACTGCATATGTTTAAATGATTTTATTGATTTATTTAAAACAATACAAACATGATGAATAAAGACACTAAGTTCAGAGATACTGATATGAATAGCAAACTGGCTGAATTAACATCTGAAAATAAAGAAAATAAATCTGATTGCCTTTATTACTCACGAAACTAATGTTTTAATGAACATACATGTATCTAAACATTCATATAAGGTAAAGTTAGTACATGCATGTGTACAATAACGTTACTTTAGGATGTTTGCTACTCTTGTTTTTGAAATTTTGCCCGATATTCGGAATCCTCTGGTTTTATCCATCTATTGCCAATAACAAATTTTACCCGCTAACCCCTACTTTTCTGTTCATAATATTATTACATATAGTTGTAAAAGCCATATTTGAAAATCTTATAAAATCCTTGTTATTTTTTCAAAGTTTTTGAAAGAAAAAAGGTGCCAATGTTAAATGTATGAAAAATCTAGAGAGAATCATTTCCCACCAAATTTTCAATGGCTTATATCTCGAAAACAAGCGCACGGACCCTTCATTAAGCTGAAGGATTGAATTCACATTCATAACTTTGATTTTACTTAATATTTTATACAATATGTGTTGCGTTAAATAGTTATATCTTATAAATATATATATAAAAAGGAAGATTCAGGATATTCTATTCTAGACAGCGAAAAAATTAACACAAAATAAAGTGTACAAAAACCTATAAGACCTCTACTTTGAGCTTGCTTTTACCAATTGTGAGGAAAATTCTAGTTTTTGTTTTTCGTGTGTATTTTCTGTCTTTTATTTATCATTTTTTATGCATTTTATTTGCGCTATTGTTGATGGATGGTTTTGACGATATTTCTTGTCGTATAGGTTTATAAACAAATTTATTATATACTTAGTAGTAATACAAGTAAATTGTATGTCTAATACAATCGATGGCAATCATGCTGTATCAGCCAACCGTGATAATATCGATATCAGTCATGGTTTAAAAGGCTTTATCAAACCCCTAATCTGTATGACGTCACGTAATCGATATCAGTCACGGTTACAAGGCCTTTATCAAACCATTACATCATGCCACGTGAAAAAAAACACCATCTAAATTAGTTGTACTTGAGGTACATGTATATAATCAAGTGTATAATTATGATATGGCTTTTTCAATATCACACTCTGTATCAACCCTCAACCAGTATAATCCCTCGAGCAGAGAGCTCTTGGTATTATATTGGTGTCTCGGGTTGATACAGGTGTGATATTGAAAAAGCCATATGATATTCTCTATAGGAACATGTGCATGTATAGGGCAGTTTACCTTGAATTTATTTTATATAAAGAGAAAAAAGGGGGGCATTTTGAAAAAAAGTCTTCTAAACTTGAAATCAACAGCATGACAGCTTCAGGTTCCAAAAACAGCATTACCATGTCTAAATATCGTTTAATGCAAAATTTTACAAAATTTAATGAAAAATATACTTTATTGTGTCAAAACCGTCTTAAACAACAACAACTTACGCAGAATAAGAATTTGATATCATAAATATGCGTATAATTCTTATAGAATACTTGATATTTATTATTAAGTGTTTAATTTCCGGTAGGTTTTAAAAACCTTTGGATTTTGACCTTATTAGTGAAAAAAGTTGATGGAAACTCTCAAACAGACATTCAAAAAAAAAAAATGCCACCAACTCGAAGTAATTGTACATGTACATGTATTGTTACCTGGAGATAGGTTTCATATGACATAATTTGAGCAAGAGTTACAAAATGTACTTCCCTTTTTGTCGCCATGTTGTAGGTCTAAGTGCACAAATTCCTTAAGAAATAAGCCAAATTCAACTTCTTATACTGATCACCGCTAGACTTAAAAAAAGTTGTTTTGTAGCAAAATTTTAATTTTATTTGCCTTGCTTTATTCATCACTACGATCTAGTAAGGATCTTTTTTCAGACTTGTTTTTACCTCAATTTTCGATTTAGTTAGTTAAATAAGAAAATCAGCTATTTTTTTATCACTCCAATAACTCAAACTTAATCGGTTTTTTTCTATATATGAAATATTGTGGTTTACAAAGTGTATACTCACTACAACATATATCGACCTCTGATGTTCCCATCTCCGCCGTCCATGTGTTCCTGTTGGACATTATTGTATTCTGAAACTCTAGCAGTGAACACGTTTTATTTTGTGCTGTCACTGCATCTGACATGCAAGATCCTAATCTACACAGATTACTAAACAAAAATATAAACACGAAATGATTAATATCAATAACGTATACAACATGTATTCACAACCATTAAAAAGACATATATAATTGCACTTTGGTCTATTTTTAAATGTGTCAATATATAAATAAATTAAAACTTAAAGCTATAAGGATTTCTTACATGATCAACACAATGGGTGCCACGGTTTTTGGTTACGGTTCATGTTAATTGATCAGCCTTTAGTTTTCTATATTGTGTTTTGTATACTATTGTTTGTCTTTTGGTTGTTTTTTTTTAACAACGGTGTTGTCAGTTTGTTACCGAATAATGAATTTAAGTATCCCTTTTGTATCTTCCGCCTCTCTTTTACAATTGAGGTACATTTGGACTCGCAACAAATGAGCTGCGCCGGATAGAAATCGACCTTATGCAAGTGCACGTGTACATGTACATGAATTAGACTTTGATTGATTTTTGAACATTCAAATACGAAATAAACGATGAATTCTGGTCCGTTTTCATTGGCGGATCCAGACATTTTCATAATGGGGCCCATTGACTGCCTAATATGGTCCCGCTCCAGTCATGCCTAAGTGATTCCCTATATAATCAACAAAATTTATTCCCACAAAAGGGGGCCCGAGCGACGACTTATATTCGTGTTATTTTTATTCTCGTATGAGTCGCAAAAACAAATGATCTCCAACATCAGTTTATTTAGTATATAAGCATGTTTTGATTTGTGTATATCACTGGTAGTAGTCTAAATCGTTCAAACTCAACCGATTCTGTTCCTCTGATGAGAGTAGCGGATTCACCCGAGGATGCCTATTGGTAGTAGTCCAGTAAAAATTTTACGACAATACAGATTTTTTTTTTACAATACATACTCAGTATATTTATTCAGTTTTGTAGTTTACGAATTGTTATTTGAGAGACGCCAAATTTGTATTTGTATATAGTTTAGCTATTACTTACCCACAGTTTGAGTATTCAATAAAACTTTCAAATTGAGATTCACACGATACCTCGAGGTAGTACATCACAGACTCGAAATCTGAACAATTCATTACTGGTAAACCTGAAAAAACAACATATGTTACATTTGTTGTATACAAAGTGTCTTGTATTTTTTATTTATGGTTGTTCCTTATTCTAAATATTCCAAGAGTTCGAAGACTCCTTCTTCTTTTTGATGCAACATGTAATGAAAATATGCAGAAACAAACAGTATTGTGATAGTACATGTACTTGTAAAACTTTGTAAAAAAAAATGTCAGTTTAAGGATGTACTTAGGTGAAATTCAGAAAATCTAGAATTTAAAATTGATACTATAATTCAGAAGAGCCTTAGTCAAGGAACAAAATAAACTAAAAATATTGATAGGTTATGGAGCTCCTTTTCGAGATATTTAATTTTTAAAAAATGGCAGGAAAGGGCTGACTCGGACTTTTACCTTATAATTGCCTTGGTATTATTTGGGTCTCAAATCGAAAGAAAAGAAATCTAGAATCTACTTAAATTTTGGTAAATGACCTTTTATGAGCTATTGAAGTCATATATGAAAAGAAAAATGGGTGTTATGGGGCAAATGTTTTACCCTGTATCGTAGGAAAAAAACCAAGGAGTCCGAACATCTGACAAAAATTCCTAAACCTCACCTAAGTACATCTTTAAGGTTCGTGTTGCTCAGTCTTTCTATTTTGTGATTTGTAGACTGGTTTTTGTTTTTTTTTTGTCATGGCGTTTTCAGTTTCTCTTCGACTTATGGTTTTTGAAACCCCCTTGGTTTCTTCCGCCATTTTTTATAGGTTATTATTGTATATGAAAATAAGGAAATGTGGTATGATTGGCAATGAGACAACTTTCCACCAGAGTTCAATGATTGGATATAAGTAGTTGTATGGTCCCCATTTTTGTAAATAAATAAATTTGTAAATACTTCTCGTACTTGATTTTAACTTGAACATTTCAACTTACATTTTAAAACATCGAATTTTAAATGCTCGACAATGACGTCACGAAAATTGATAATGAGCTCGTGCTTCTCTCGTGCGGTGCACGTTCTGTTGTGGTCGGTACTGATGGCTTCTACAATACAGGGTCTTACTTTGTCTAAAACAATTCTGAAAAAAAAACATTCAAATACAGCTTGTGTGAACATTTAGCAAAATTCTTATTTACAAAAAATGGCTACGAACTACCTTTAAAATCCGCATTTTATTCAGCCTACACATGTGTTCGTTCGACAAAGCATGTTGAAACGTTTCTTGATGAACTGGTTTCGGAGAAAATTGGATACCAAAATTAATTGACACTACAAATAACATTGTTTTTTTTCACTTTTAATAGAATTTTGCTGCTGGCATGGAATTTCCATTCTATTTGTCCTTCAGATAAAAACTCAAAATTGACAATTTTTTTTTTATTAACATTTATACGAAAATTATAGTAAAAGTAAAACAGTTCTCGTGAATAACCCTACTGGTAGAATAAATAGAATACATACAGGAAACTAAAAGTTCAATTTAAAATTTTGATGCTTTCACATACATTGTTCAAACTTTTATTTCTACAATAGAATCTTTATACGCACGCAACAATCCACATGCATCAATACCAACTCGTTCCTGACTGGCTGAATGGTTGCAGGAATTATATAGATGTTTTACAGTAACCAGCCGCATCATGATATGGCATTATGACAAATATCTTACCCACACTTTTCTTCGAGAGATTTTGCTTGTAGTAGACCAATCAACTGTTGGGCTGTACATTTTAAGGCAGCTCCTTCAATCAGTTCACCGTTTGTACATGGGTCTGGAAACAGTAAATCAATTATTTAGTCAATTATTATTATTTCGTTTCAACTTATTCAGGCAGAGTTGACCATAGTTTAGTAGTCAGCACTTCTGTGTTGACATGAATTATCATTGATATGACCATAACTATAAATTAACAGTTTACAAAACTTTGAATTTTTAAAATACTAAGGATTGTCTACCCCAGGAATAGATTACCGTAGCTGTATTTGGCAAAACCTTTCAGAATTTAAGGTTACCAATGCTCTTTAACTTCATACTGTATTTGGCCTTTTAAACTTTTGTGATTGCTGCGTCACCGATAAATCTTTTGTAGACGAAACGCGCGTCTGGCGTACACAATTTTAAGTCTGGTATATCTATGGCAAGTTTAATTAGATGGATTTGGCTATAATTGTTTTAGATACTTAAAATTAGGTCATATAGCTCTTCAACTGTTAACTTAAGGTTCTTATGCATCCTTGGCTTTCAAATATTAGGCTTTGAGCATTCCTGATGAAGGTAAATTTAAATAAGCGCTCTGGATGCAGACAATTTATAAAGTGTGGTTTTCATTTTTGCAATAAATATTTTGTAATGTTTGCCCTTATTCGAATCTGAATGCAACTAAAATCAAAATAGTTTTATTGTTTATGCGATGGATGTCTCCTGTCTCCTGTATACTTAGTACTAGTATTTCACTATTCCAAAATAAATCAATTCCAAAATAAATCAAAACTATACAATACAGATATCAATGTCAAATAAATTTGTAAACAATCGATAATGAAATTTTAAAAGTCTTTTTAAAACTTATTGTTGATACAAAGGCTTAAGTTATATTCCTGTTATTGTTTATGTTTTTGTAAAATGTAAGTGTAATGTATTATACTCACTTGCCGTGACAAATAGAATTTGTAAGTTTACAACCAATATTAAAAGTAATATCTTCATAATCGTTTGCAACAGTAATTGTTGTTCACATAATTATCCTGCAAAACATATTGAAATCGTCAAATATTGTAATATTTAGTATAAAGTCCATTAAAGAATCCAATTTTCATTTCGCGAATAACCTTCAGGTGTAAAGAATCGAAATCGGTTGTTGTCGTAAAATATTTACTTCCGGTACAACTTGTAAGTATAAATGTGACGAAAAAACATTGCCGAAGGGAACATGTAATTATAGCTTGTTTGTAAGCTGTACACGAATTACATAGAGTATTATACAGAGATACATCTGTACATGTATGTTACTCAAATTATGTAGTCTTGATTCACACGTTTTATTCATATGTCGGCGTATATCGAATTTTGTTTATTTTATATATTTTTATCATTTTATTATTTGTGTTTTTTTTTCTATATTTCTTATCATTATTTGTATTTTTTCCATAATTTTTATCATAATTGATAAGGGAAAAAGATGCACAACATATAAAAATTGCAGAAAAAGTTGTTAAATATTCTTTGTACAAATGCCCACTGTTTTATCATTAAATTTTGTTTTTACCATTATTAGTTGTGAATTAAAATTAAAAATCTATGCTATAGAATTATGTTTGTTTACATATAGTCTCTGCAATTTCTATTTCGAGAATATCAATACAGTAAACGAGTATTCGGGCCACTTATACAAAATTTATTGAAGCGCTTATGTGCAGCTTAAACCTTAATATTAGTAAGGTTCTGTTAATAGAGTTAAAAAAAAAACAAGATATTTGGACGAGATTCAACAAATATTTTGGAAAACAATTCTTGTGGTAAAATGATTAGGAAGTTACTAGAACGTTAATGAAAACAATTTTAACGTTACGCGCAAATGGCTAAAATACCATTGTACATTGGTCTTTTCTGACGCCCTGGAAAATTATACAAACACAGTTACAAGTCTAATGGTTATCGTTTTATGAACTACACTAGTTAGTGATCCTTCTGCAGTAATTACGTCAATTTCTGAGACAGGGCCGTTTTTAACCCTTCGTGGCCCTACTCCTTTGTTCAAAATGATTTCAGTTTATTTTAAATATATTAGGTAAATTTATCTTTTTTTTTATAAAAAGTTATGGATTTATTTTCATATGTTTTTGTATAAATCCGCTCAAATGTAGTAACTTTTCAACAGGTAAATTTCGCGCAAACGTAGATTTTTTCGCGCAAATGTTGCACGAATTCGCGCAAACGTAACGCGCCGACTTGGAATTATAAATGTGACGAAAAAACATTGTCGAAGGGAAAATGTAATTATAGCTTGTATGTTGGCCATAAACGAATTGCATAGAGTATTATACAAGGAAATGTTACTCAAATTATCTAGTCTTGTTTCACACGCTTTATTGATATTTGGCGGTGTATATCGAATTTTGATTTTATAGATTCTTATCTTTTTTGTATTTGTGTTTTTTCTATAATTCTTATCATTATTTGTATTTTTTCCATAATTTTTTATAACAATTTATGTATTTTTCTATAATTCTTATCATTATTTGTATTTTTTCCATAATTTTTATCATAATTTATATATTTTTTCTATAACTTTATCATTATTTGTGTTCTTGTTATTATGGTCTAATAGTTTTTATTTGTGCATATTTAAAAATAACGTTTCTTGCATATTGCGTCACTTCCGGTGGATTCCAGTTGACATGAAAGGTTTTATAAAAACTAAGGGAAAAAGATGCACAGCATATTAAAATTGCAGAAAAGGTTGTTAAATGTTCTTTGTATAAATGCCCATTGTTTTATCATTAAATTTTGTTTTTATCATTATTAGTTGTAAATTAAAATGATGACAACATTTTAACTAGGTTCTACAATGATCGGTATAGTTACAATCAGCTTAAACGTTAGATGAAGGATGGCGGAAGCCGATGTTTGCCAAATGGGTACAGTTAATATTGATATTGACATAACCACCCATATTTTTGTCAACATGATTGGTCGGTACAGATTGCGAGGAGTATTATAATTAGCAATAAAATATATAAAAAGAAAATACGTTTGTTATATTATTATGAGTTTTAAGACAATTTGTTATCAATACATACACGAAAATAAATGTGTGTATAATGTGAACATAATACTCGGAAAACTCAACTCAAACGTCATTCGGAACTGTAATTCAAATTGTTCATTGTCAAATAGCTTCTGTTTCAAAAACAATGTAGTAACAACATTAAATACAGTGTTTATTGCACCAGATGCGCATTTCGACAATTAATGTCTTTCCAGTGAAGCCCAAGGTTATCATATTTGAATATCCAACACCTAATACGAACATCAAGAAGCTTATATATTTAAATTGAACCGAAAAGTAAAGCCAAATCCGATGTTTTCTTTATTAAAATCCGAAGCGGCAATCAAACCCCGACTCATTCTATCAAATGCTGAACAAGGTTTTTTTCATCATGCTCAAGTGCTGACGTGCGCATCTGCATATATTTTTTTTTCAATGTTCCGGTAGTTATCGGTCAATGAATGGGTAAAGACGTTGACAAAAACGTTCAATTATACATGTACACGAAACATTCAATAGATCGGTAAACCATACTCCGAAACAGTGGCAACGTGCCTACGCGTAACTTTCACGGATAAGTCTGTGTCGCATAGAAGAGACAACGTTATGGTAGCAAACCACTGTTCCGGAGTTCTCTTACACATCTGAGGGTCTGGATGGGTGGTCTTTCATTTCTGTATTCTTTAATCTTTTAGGCCATTTTTCACTTCTTTATAATTTTTGCTCATTATTCTCTATTCTTTATATATTAGCACCTTATTATTATCTATTCTTTATTCTGTTGTTCCATTTTTCTCTATTTTGTAAACCCCCACCCACACTTCTTATACATGATTTCATTTTTTATGACGTTAAAAAACAGACAAATAGACAACCAGCAACGGAACAAAGGCGTTCACTTTATAGGATAATTATATGAGACATCCAAACAGTTATTGTATGCATATCTGTCATGATTATGAACTTACAGAGTGTCAAGATAAAAAAGGAGAGCGGTATGATTGCTAATGAGACAACTGTCCACCAGGGGAGGATAGAAAAAAGTTAGGTATTGGACTTGTAAAAAATATATGCATAAACCATGTATGTGTAGCTCCATATAGGCCTTAATCCGCCTTTGAAGAAAGTTGGTAATATTGGTTCACTTATTTCAATTTATATAGCACAATTTTCTTTTTCTATCTCCTTCCTGGATAGATAGAAGATTTACACAAGTTCATCCTTCTCGGACAAATTCCGAAACAGAGGCAACGCAACTACGCTAAATTTTCACAAATACGTTAGCATTGCGTAGCAGAGACGACCCACTGTTTAAATTCGGAGTTTTCTCCTACGGACGCAAATCTCTCTATCATCTAACTCCTATTTGGGCAGACAGAACTCCGGAGTTATACATATACATTGTACTAGAAATGTGGAGATGAGTAAAAAAGTAATATTATAATAAAACAATTGTTGACTTCTGATGTCAGTTAGCCTTGATGAATATCATATCTCTGGGGTTGATAAATTATTTTATCATATACTTAGAGTAAATAACTTATAATTTTTACAGTATGATAGACGTGGATTCCATATTTTCCGAAATCGTGCTCAGCGGGCTGATATGAAAAAAATATCAACTGCTTCCGGTTATTATCGTATACCTTTCCGTAACGTTATCGCATGGCATTTCGCAGTGATCGTTTCCGTTCCGGAACTATTTTCCTTTAGTCCATCGGCTCTTGGGCTGATATTGATCCTGTGGCTGATAATATATCTGCTATGAAAAATGCCATGTAATAATCTAATAGTATCAACCTCATCAAATGTCAATAATTGTATAATAACAACTTTATTTAAATTTTTTTTGTTGTTAATTTTTATTAGGAAACTTAAAGGGTCAACTGGGTATTCAATATATTGTTACATGTATCCTTGGACTTTTCAGTGACACGTTCGAAAGTAAAAACTTTACATCCGTTTGGATGTGCTGGATTGTATAAATACGCAGCTACGTCCAGTCGAAATTGGGACGCTAAATCTAATACTTAGTGTAGGGCGAGTGCTTAATATTTAGTGTAGGGCGAGTGCTAAGCTCACTGCACATTACAGAATCCTTACAACAACTCTCTGAGGGGTGCATTTCATATAATGATGCCATTCTCCAACATACCCACTTTATCCAGGGGCAATTCAATTTCCTGTCCCTTATCCCGTTCGATATACCTAGCCGTAACCACATGTTATACTAATTTTTAATTCATTCAAGTCCTGAAAATGCATGAAATATTTGTCCACTTGACGTAAAACAGGCAAACATCAGTAACTATATCTCTTAGGCGTTCTTGCCTCGGGTGAAGGAGGTCGTGGGTTTAAATTCCGCCCGGGTTTCACTACAAACTTAAAAATTAGTATTCACTGACTGCTACTCGGCTAAGCAGGTTACATTTAGTATTAAGTGCAAAATTTGGTAGGGTCAAAATGATATTTCCGGCGGGAAGGATGAAATGTCTCCTTCTGTAATGATTATGTTACCTTATGAAATAGCTCTTAAAACTTCCGACTTAGCATGTCGTACTAGTACAAAGTAGGGTTCATTTTCATATCACATTTACATGTTCTCGTACTGATATATATGAAATATCTGCCACTGGATATTAAACACCAATCTTTCATAAAAAAGAACTCGATCGTCCTTGTAATTATGCGTTGAAGACCCATTGGTAGTATTGTGCTGTTTTCTGCTCTTTGGTCGGGTTGTTGTCTCTTTGACACATTCCCCGTTTCCATTCTCTATCCTAGGTATGTTAAATTTGTCAATAAATATTATTGGTAAAAGTTTTCGCAAGATTATCCCAAGACATTCTAGATTTTTATATATTTCTTAGTATTTGTTTTAATGCACAAAGGTAATTTTCGTATTTAGGATAAAAAAAAGCATTGTTTTATAGAACATCCTTTGGTTTCTGGTTGATACTATAATGCTTACTCCTAAACAAACTCATCATAGAAACCAGGATTAGGAAATTCCGAATTCCGAAAGGTTTTGCCAAATGCAACTAAGATAATCTTTTCATGGGGTAAAAAATCCTAAGTATTTCGAAAAATTCAAAGTTTTTTAAACAGTTAATTAATAATTCTGATGATATCAATGATAATTCATGTAAACACAAAAGTAGTACCACATTGAGGCGCCAAAGCAACAGCTAAACAACAGTCCCTGAGGTGATGCGCCAGCGGCTTCCTTCGCGATAGGCGAGCATGTTAAAAACACCGAAGCGATAGCAGGAATGAAAAAATATAAATAAGTATACAAAGAATCAGTAATGAGGGTCTAGATGGGGTTAACAGAATAGAGAATAATGGGCCAAATATACAGAACAATCTACCAAAAAATATAAAGAATAGAGGACAATTACCTAAAAAATAAAAGAATACAGAAATTAAGATCCCCCATTCAGACCCCTAGTAATACATATGATATGAAGGAACAATTTATCTAAGTTCTTTATTCCTGTTAGAAATTGAATTTGATTAAATACGTAAAACAATTTAGCCTTGCAAAAACCTAACAAAGAAAACACTTCAACAAGCACGCAAATAGGAAAATTCAAAATTTTAATTTACAGAATTTTTCACAACAGGAAGGAAGTGGCCATGTATCTTTTTTTTCAATGACATATATAATAGGAACAAGAGTTGAATACTATTTTTTTTAATACCAAATGTTGATAGAAACATACTAGTTTTTCATTTCCCTTTTTAACAAATTGTTTTAAGCGATTTTGACTTTACCAATTCATTTATTAAAATAGAAAACTTGACAAACAAAGATGAACGGTTAGTGCCTAGAAGCATGTTACACATGTACAACCGTGAACATTTATGTTAAATATACCTTTTATTAAATTTACTTACGACTTCCGAATTAGAAACGATAAATGTTTCTGGTTTTGTTTTCTCATAAATTTTCATCAATTTCTGAACTTTTCAAAAATCAATCACAGGCACTATATTTGTTATATTCTCACTACAGTACATGCATCACGGTTTAATGTTTAAGACAAATAGCGTCTAAAAATGATTCAAACATCAGTATATGACACACAATTATATATATATATATATATGTTTATCATTGTAGTCTAAATAATTTAAAGTCATCTGTATTTCACGTCATAGAAAATAGTTTCAAGAAGACACCAGTTACAAGAGCCATTGCGTAAACTGTCATCTCCATATTGAAAACCACACCAACTGATGCTGAAAAAGACGATAACATAAATATGAAAAAGAGTTCAAAATGACGTCGAAATCTGTTCTATAAATAGGTTTATGTTTTCGGTTCCGTATAGATTATTCTTATCAGTATCTTATTCACTGTATCTAAAGGGAAAACGGTACTATTTATTCTGCCATAGGCGACAATACTAACATTTTCTAAATTTACCACTTTTTATAATAAAAACCCCGATAAAACAGTTATGTGTGGTGTTAGTACTTTATTATTCTGTTTTGAAAATTGAAGCCAAATAGTATCATGACCAACTTCCAATGGAGCTTGTTAATGTTATCCATGCCCACCGTCATTTTACACCAAATTTATGAAATTTTTGAAGTCTTTTCGAATAATTCTCTAGAAAATATTTCAATAGGTTTCAAAATTTATATTGTAAATATACACACTGCAGTTATTCATAGATAAATAAAAAAATATATTGTACCCTAACATCCAATCACAGCGCTCCTAAGTTGACTTCCTTCACCTGCCTTGGGTACACAAAAGACCAACCTAATGCTGGGAAAATATAATAGTACCGTTTTCCCTATACTGTGACATAAAGATATAAAGAATTCTTTTGACACCATTAATGCAATACTGGGTTATTGTGAAAACCTTGGCTATAATAAATACTTGTATGTTCCCATTACTTAAAGAAACATGGATCATTTAATGTCCCCACCCCTACATGCTGGTTTACCTCTTTCTCTACTTCTTTCAGATAAGGCTTAATAAACAACCTGTATCCAATCATATCTTATCTTATTTAAAAAGAATAATAAACAGTTCCATTTAAACAGATAAAAATAACAGTTCCATTCAATTTGTATTCATTTCATCCAAAATTTACAACATAAGCACAAACTCAAGATTTTTCATACTAATCTCCATTCCATGCTTTAGTATATGCCATATTGTGGTTCAAAATTTCAGAGCTTGTTATAAAATCCATTATTCTGTCTTGAGATGATGAGAACAAAGATATTAGACACTTTCAACATTAAATATGCAAAATACTCAGCTGTAAAGTTGCCTTTGTTGCCTGTATTAATCTATGAAAAAGCTGAATTATGTCCCTTGGGAGTATTAATTTCCAACAAAAGTCCTTTCAAACAGTAGAAAATGAAATATTATATATGCCTGATATAATGAAAGATAGAAACTACAAAATGAAGCACTATTGAAATATTTGCTGCATGAATTGCCAAGAATATGACCAATTCTTTACACAGGAGAGTATAAATTCTATCTAAATTTAGCCTCAAGTGGGCCTCTTTTTTTCTTAGATGGACAATTTTAACACTGAAAATGCTTCTAGTATGACCAAATGTTGCCTTACTCCATAAACAGTACAAACTTAACCAGACAATTTCCCAATTGAATAGATTATGTCTACAGAAATACCCAAGTGATACATTTAGGGAATTACACAGCAAAAAAGGCAAATATTTCAGTTAAAAATATTTGTCGTGACTTGAATTCTGGTGTTTCCAATTGAATTAATCATTGCGAAAGGTGAAAACAAATACAAAAGAACTATAGTTTGGTGCATTTTATACAATATAGTTAATATTGAAATCCTAGAATAAAGTTTTATATCAGTACCCATCAATTTGACTTATTATGATGACTCAGCACTTTTCTCAACACAGTATTGTTCTCAGTGAAAAAATTATATTCTTTGTGATAAAAATCAAATGTACTAACCAAAAGCTTCAAAATAGTATACTTTAACTGAAGTCGGATTGATTTTGATTTCCCTTGCTATCTTCAGTATAGGGAAAACGGTACTATTTATTCTGCCATAGGCGACAATACTAACATTTTCTAAATTTACCACTTTTTATAATAAAAACCCCGATAAAACAGTTATGTGTGGTGTTAGTACTTTATTATTCTGTTTTGAAAATTGAAGCCAAATAGTATCATGACCAACTTCCAATGGAGCTTGTTAATGTTATCCATGCCCACCGTCATTTTACACCAAATTTATGAAATTTTTGAAGTCTTTTCGAATAATTCTCTAGAAAATATTTCAATAGGTTTCAAAATTTATATTGTAAATATACACACTGCAGTTATTCATAGATAAATAAAAAAATATATTGTACCCTAACATCCAATCACAGCGCTCCTAAGTTGACTTCCTTCACCTGCCTTGGGTACACAAAAGACCAACCTAATGCTGGGAAAATATAATAGTACCGTTTTCCCTATACTGTGACATAAAGATATAAAGAATTCTTTTGACACCATTAATGCAATACTGGGTTATTGTGAAAACCTTGGCTATAATAAATACTTGTATGTTCCCATTACTTAAAGAAACATGGATCATTTAATGTCCCCACCCCTACATGCTGGTTTACCTCTTTCTCTACTTCTTTCAGATAAGGCTTAATAAACAACCTGTATCCAATCATATCTTATCTTATTTAAAAAGAATAATAAACAGTTCCATTTAAACAGATAAAAATAACAGTTCCATTCAATTTGTATTCATTTCATCCAAAATTTACAACATAAGCACAAACTCAAGATTTTTCATACTAATCTCCATTCCATGCTTTAGTATATGCCATATTGTGGTTCAAAATTTCAGAGCTTGTTATAAAATCCATTATTCTGTCTTGAGATGATGAGAACAAAGATATTAGACACTTTCAACATTAAATATGCAAAATACTCAGCTGTAAAGTTGCCTTTGTTGCCTGTATTAATCTATGAAAAAGCTGAATTATGTCCCTTGGGAGTATTAATTTCCAACAAAAGTCCTTTCAAACAGTAGAAAATGAAATATTATATATGCCTGATATAATGAAAGATAGAAACTACAAAATGAAGCACTATTGAAATATTTGCTGCATGAATTGCCAAGAATATGACCAATTCTTTACACAGGAGAGTATAAATTCTATCTAAATTTAGCCTCAAGTGGGCCTCTTTTTTTCTTAGATGGACAATTTTAACACTGAAAATGCTTCTAGTATGACCAAATGTTGCCTTACTCCATAAACAGTACAAACTTAACCAGACAATTTCCCAATTGAATAGATTATGTCTACAGAAATACCCAAGTGATACATTTAGGGAATTACACAGCAAAAAAGGCAAATATTTCAGTTAAAAATATTTGTCGTGACTTGAATTCTGGTGTTTCCAATTGAATTAATCATTGCGAAAGGTGAAAACAAATACAAAAGAACTATAGTTTGGTGCATTTTATACAATATAGTTAATATTGAAATCCTAGAATAAAGTTTTATATCAGTACCCATCAATTTGACTTATTATGATGACTCAGCACTTTTCTCAACACAGTATTGTTCTCAGTGAAAAAATTATATTCTTTGTGATAAAAATCAAATGTACTAACCAAAAGCTTCAAAATAGTATACTTTAACTGAAGTCGGATTGATTTTGATTTCCCTTGCTATCTTCAGTATAGGGAAAACGGTACTATTTATTCTGCCATAGGCGACAATACTAACATTTTCTAAATTTACCACTTTTTATAATAAAAACCCCGATAAAACAGTTATGTGTGGTGTTAGTACTTTATTATTCTGTTTTGAAAATTGAAGCCAAATAGTATCATGACCAACTTCCAATGGAGCTTGTTAATGTTATCCATGCCCACCGTCATTTTACACCAAATTTATGAAATTTTTGAAGTCTTTTCGAATAATTCTCTAGAAAATATTTCAATAGGTTTCAAAATTTATATTGTAAATATACACACTGCAGTTATTCATAGATAAATAAAAAAATATATTGTACCCTAACATCCAATCACAGCGCTCCTAAGTTGACTTCCTTCACCTGCCTTGGGTACACAAAAGACCAACCTAATGCTGGGAAAATATAATAGTACCGTTTTCCCTAAACTACCCCGGCGAAAAATGTTTGGACTCAATAGTATCTAATGTCCGGTACGGTGACGGACAATAAACAGACAGAGAAATGTAGAAATTCTGTTTATTTATTTGTTGTTTTAATGATATTGAAGAATATACATACACATATAACTATTTTCGATAGTGTGATGTAATATTTTCTACCACCGTTCTAGATTTATGGAGAAATAAGTATAAATGCACATCAAAATGGTGAATTGAGTGAACCCTGCCTCGAATTTGTTCAATTTCTCTTTAAATTGAGCACATTGTACGGAAAGAAAGGTACGGAAAGAAAGATATTAACACGGAGATTTCAAGACTTTTCACTATGATCGCCTCAATATTTGCATGTCTGTGCATGGAATGAAAGAAGTGGGTCATGTCAAAATTGAAGCACCCGGTTTTGTCAATGTGTACGACCCAGTTTTGTCCTTATATTTCACAAAGCAGACCCGGTTTTGTCATAGAAAATAATGCATAATCGCATGACGAAAATTAAAACATGGCGTTCAACAGCAGTTTGAGGGATCGTTGAAAAACATTTTCTTTCAGAGGATAACTTATAACCTTTTTGAATCCGTAAACACTTGAACTCCTCCTATATTAGAACAAAGCAAATTTCAATTTTGTTTTGTATAAAAAAAAAAAGGAAAAATTAAAAAGAAATAAAGGTTTTGAAACGGAATTAGATTTTTTTATCATCTATGTAAATTTAAGTGTTCAAACTTAATTATAGTGTACGGCCTTGAAAATTTAAGGACGCACATTTGATATGTGATTTTTTGGGACAACAAGATGGTTATCTTAGTGTTCCGCTCTACTTAAAGGGAAGACAGTATAATCGTTTGAAAATAAATATTCTGAAACTAAACGTTCATTATAATGCAAGAGAATAAGACAAACGTTTGTGCATGCAGAATCGCCCAAGAAAAGGAATTTCCATGCGGCGCAAAGGATCACAATAATAGTGCGTTAAAAATCTGTTTACTCCTCCTTGTTATAATAATACTAAGTATAAATTAGTATAAAAGTCTTAGGCCATCCGGAAATTGCAATAATGATTATTTGATTAGTAATTTATA